ATGATGAAACCGGTTTCATACATGGTGAAATTGGTGCATGGAGTAAGTGAAAATGATTATGAAATGGGTGCATGAAGAAATGAGTGCAGCATGAAATGAGTGGATGATAATATGGGTGGGTGAAGAAAGTGAAACCATTTCAAAAAAGATAAGAAAAGTCTGTGTAATTAGCTAAAAATGAAGCAATTTCATTATCAATAGCGTGAAATGACAAATGACTCATCAAACCATGCTGGCCAATGAGATGAGTGATTGAAGAAAGTGAAACCATTTCATGGTTTTTAAGAAATTTTTTGTGTAATTAGTAAACAATGAAACAATTTCATTATCAAAATGAAACATATCCATCTACCAATAACATGAAAATGACAAATGTCTCATCTAGCATTACATTGATTTGTGTATTTATGAAATTGTGAAACCATTTCGTTAATTAAATGTAGTGATAATTTTTTTTAATAATTATTCAAAATGTTTCATTATGTTAAATTGATTATAGTGTGTTTTATTTTTATTGTTGATCTATTTTAATGATGGATGTAATTTTATTTATAATATTTGAACATAAAATTAATATATTATTTTCCAAATGATTTTGTTTCATTAATGTTACGATATACATGATATGGTTGACATTAATAAAACCACTACCAAAGTTACCATTTTGCCCTTATAAGGATTATAAAATAAATTTTTATTTATTTATTTTTTAAATTTTCTAATATAACCTAAACCAATCTTGATCATTGATCAAGAAAATGGATGGATGAGATTGGTTTACACAAATGATGGCGGTTTTCATTTGATTGTTCCTCTCTCTCTCTCTCTCTCTCTATATATATATATATATATATTTATATATATATATATATAATATATATATATATATATATATATATTTATATATATATATAATATATATATATATATATACATATATAGACTTGGGATCATGTGAGACCAAAGGTTTTTCGTGAGACCCGTAAGACCAATTCTCAACCATTGGATTAGATTATATATATAGGTTAAAGAAAGAAAAAATATATAGGTCAAAAATACCCCTTCAAGCTTAAAGTTTAATGATAAATTTTAGCCATTAGATCAATAGCTTATAAAGTTGATCAATGAACATAAATTGGTCTTACGGGTCTCACGAAAAACTCTTGGTCTCACGTAAACCCAACCCTATATATATATATATATATATATATATAGATAAATAGATAGAGAGAGAGAATGTTTTAAATGCAACCCATCATATTTGTACAACCAGTAACCCAATCAATTGAGATATCTATGRAAATTATGAAAGTTCATTTATTATTCTTTGAATATTTATGGAAGATGACTAGGGTTAATTAATTATGATCAATATTTTATAATAAGAAACAATCAAAACTTTTATGAAATCACATATTCATCAAATTAAATGGATGGTTGAGATTGAGTTGTATTGGTTGTATAAATGTAAAGGGCTGCATAATAACTCACCTATACATGTATATATACATTATATTATAAAATATTTGACAAAAACTTTTAAAAACCATTTTTTATACATGAAATATTGTTTATTGATGCATATTACTTAAAATTCAAGATTACAAGTAAATTGTGCATAAGTACAACTTATTAAAACTTCATGCTTGAATTTGTGTAACTAACTGCAGATAAACATAATCAAATACAGGATAAACATTTCATTTTAAATATAAAAAATCTAAAATATAATTAGGATAACTATTGAGTTCTAACAAAATACTTAATTATTATTCTTATAAAAAATATATTATTAAATCAAAAATAAATTACTTCGGCATTAAATATAAATTAAATTATAATTAAAAAATTGAATTAAAGGAATTACACACAAAAAAAACAAGAACATTTAAATAGTTAATTTGATACTAATATTGATATATTTATTTTTGAAATTTTATGATATCTTCCAATTTATATCTTATTTAAAAATAAAAATATTATCCCTTTTTCAAAACCACATAAACATCGTATTAAAACATCTACAGAGACGGAATAAAACGAAACATTAAAATCGAGATATATTTCGTTGCATTGCGCGAGTACCTTTCTAGTATATATATAAAGGCTGATTCAAATGTTAACCAAGTTTATTGTGTTAACTTTGTTAACCAATCTTGGCAATTGATTCTTACAATAAACGGTTGTGATTTATTATATTAAAATTTTAATTTTTTAAATTTATAATTTCACAAACATATGTGAATTAAGTGGAAAATGGTATTTATGTAATTTTTTTATGTAGCTCCCATATCATTAATTGAGAGTTATAAAATCAAAAAATCTCATGATTTTTGTTAATTTATTTTTGTTAATATAAGAACCATATGAACACACACACACACACACATATATATATATATATATGAACAATTGTGTCAAATACGAACAAAAATTGACATATATATGAACTTGAACTGCATAGCATTCATGAACACAATATGAACATAATAAGAATAGCTGCTACACGAAAGGAAATAAATAAAAAAAACAGATATGAACACAATATGAACAACTTATAAACAATAGTTCATTCATTATGAGCACATTCAAGAGTGAGTCAATGTTGAGATATACAACTATTGTACATATGAGCACTTGTGAACAATAGTTCATTCATTATAAACAATGAGTTTGTTCATAATAGCTTGAACGATACCGAAAACTTTACTATCGGGTCTCCTTTACCAATCACAAATTCAAAAACATTATAGATACAAAAATCAATATTATACAAAAAAACAAGATCAATTATAAATTAATAAAAATCATAATAACTATTGATTTTGTAACCCCCAATTAATGATATGAGAGTCACATAAAAAAGAAAATTACATATTTATCCTTGTCATTAAATTATAAGATGGATTGACATTGACTGAAAATGGTTAACAAAGTTAACACAATAAACTTGGTTAACATTTGAATCATACATTCTCTCTCTATATATCAAGGATGCTTAATTCATGTAAACCAATGCTAACAAAGTGGTTCTTAAGAATTTTAAATTTCAAATCTTGTTAGCTAATGATAAGTTGCACATTAATTTTTTGATTTACCATAAAACTTCACATCTTACTATACTCTACAAGATAGCATGTCTGTGTATGTGTATATATTTGGGATCACAAGGATTTTTTTTTTTTTTTTTTGAAACTACCCTTATATTGTGTAAATGATGTGTTATATTTTATGAAGATGGTGAATCTTACAAGGCTGAATGTGCATCTTCACTTGTTTTTGTGATGGCGGTCACCACCACACGTCTTCATATAAAATAAATGTACATTCACATATATTATGTCACGAAAATGACATTTCTCATGAGAATCCAACCCTTATATTGCATCTGTAGGACTCCGTATTTACTTTGTATTTGGATGTAGGTGAACGAGAGTTAAGGTTAGAAACGTAAGAAAAGATCTGAACCCACGAATTCCATTTTTAATCTCTTGTCCACCCATGAATTGCG